TGGTAGATGCCCCATGCCTGGAAACATTCAAAGTCAGGATGGATGGGACTCTGAGCAATGTGATGTGGTTGAAGATGTCCCTGCTCATTGCACGGGGGTTGGACTAGATGGCCTTTAAAGGTCCCTTCCAGCCCAAACTGTTCTATGATTCTGTGATTGCAAAGTTTATGTGTTCTAGCAGGCAGTAGCAAATCCTTATTTCAGTTACTTCAGCTACTTACTCATCATCATTATCATTAGTTGTGGTCAGACTTCATCAGAATCTTGTCATGAATGTGAGCATGCAATTAATTGCAGTAAAAGCACTTCTCTCACTTTTCATCTATCTCGGACATTTTTTAGAAAAGTATGTTTATGCTGTGGTAACAAGAATTTCAGAGTGGGGTTTTTCATTCCCTTTCTGTTACTCCCCCTGTTCCCCACTGTGTGCCTTTTTTTTTTTTTTTTTTTTTTTTTTATTATGGTTGGGCTGAATCAGGCAGGATAAAATCTTGGCAGATGACCCTTCATTCCTTGTTGGTTTTATTTATTTATTTGAGTTTAAACTTATCTGTTTCTTTCTATTGCTTTTATTTGGCATCTTTATTTATTTGGGGAAGGAAGCCAGAATAGGAGGGAAATACAGAACACAAGTCAATGATTAAAGTAATGGGACTGACATTCTGTCCCTACGTGCATACAGTTCTGGCTCTGAGTAGTCAGTTTGAAGGATGGTCTTGGATTTTTCTTGTTTTGTTCTCTGGCACATATGCTTTTTTCTCTCTGGTCATTTTTCTAAAAAAATCTTAAGTTTGTTTTATAGTAGGGGGAAGTGTTACTGTGGCTTGTGATTCCAGCAATTAAACATCTGTTTTGTTGATCCTTTGGAGACACCATCTATTATGTGGCTGCCCACCACAATACGGGATTAGTGTTGACTTCCTATCCTGTGTTACTGTGATGCAAGAAGATTTTGAGTAGAAGTGGTGTAGGAGATGAAACTAGTCCATTCATGTCTTTAATATGGGAGTCTGTTAAATAGATTATTACACTTTGAATACTTGCTTAAAGTTACCCTTATAATATAAAATTGTCATTATTTATGCATGTGCTATATGCAAGCAGAATTTCTCTTTTATTTTTTTCTTTCCTAATGAATGTGGATGGTGATGGATCTTCCTTTAAAAAAAAAACAAAACCTGAATTAAAGCTTTCCATTAACAGAATATATATATCTCGCTCAGAATTTCCCGTAATCAAAGTAAAATGCATTTAGTAAGGAACAGCGCCATCTGTTTTTTAGATAACATAGCATATGTCTGAAGAGAGAGAAATATGTTGTCTACTCCTTCATTCATTAAACTTCAAAGAGTATTCTAGTTAAAACAACATACGTGAGTTAGAAGTCATAGTTTCCTTAAAATGTGGTTTGTCTCAAATGTGTTGAGTACACAAAGTGGGGCTCTTGGTTGCCTTTTTTTGTGTTTATTTGATTTTTCTTTGTGTAGACGAATTACAGGTTGCTTCTCAGCACTATGACATGTGTGTTTGGTTAATAGGTTAGAAAATAAAATTTCAGTCCTTATTTGTAATGTAATTTTCATCAGAGTACCATCCCAGGTAGCTGTACTGTTTCCATTGAGTCTTAAGTGTGGACCAGTCAGAACTGGGTATTTACTGACATGTATAGTTGTAATGAAAGTAGTTTCTTGACTTTCAGTCTTGAAATACAAGCATATCTTTTGTGTTCTATCTTTAGGAAGAACTGAGGTTGCAGTGTTGCTGTCTGGCCACCAGATAGAGACTGAAGCTTGTGCAATAGCATTTTTCCTTTTTTTTTCCTTTTTAAAAATTTATTTATTTTTTTCTTTTGTGGTTGAGCATTCTTTGAAGCCAAGAGGGAAATCAGTATTACCCCAACGATAAAGAATTTGGGCGTGTTATTGTATAAAATGGATAATGACCACTTTGTTCCACAGTCTTCCATCATCAGGAAGAAGGAAGCAAGAGTCTCCAAAAGGGTCTTGGAAAAAGAAGAGAATGTTACAAATTTTGCAGTATAACAGGGGGAGGAAGAAAAGGTCAATTTGTTCTCTTCTCCCACCCAAAACTTTATGAACCCAGGAGAGCAAAATAGTACCTGTTAAAAAGTTCATAGAAGTTAAAGTGTGTCCTCAGAAATGTGAGACTGTCTAAATGTACAATTAAAACCACAATTTTAAAATAAGTTACTGGCTGCAGGCAACATAGAGGTAGCCTGCAGATTTTTAATTATTTATTGTTAAGGAACAGCAACAAATGAGACTTTGGTTTTTTGGGTTGTTGTTGTTTTTCCACCAAGCTGCTTATTTCAGAGTTGAAATTAGAAGTTTGAATTTTTTTAAGTAAGCAAGCAAGTTTGACTTAGAAAATAAACATGAATACTTGTCCTACAAATTCCTTTTCCCAATTAGAGCAACCATATGTCTGAATAGTTGATCTGAACTATGGAGTTCTTCCACACTGAGACTCTTTCCTCAAAACTCATAACCTGCGTAATGGAAACCCTGTGCTGGTGGTGTCAGCCTAGGGCAGAGACTGGTCCCTGCCAGTATTTGTGCACCGCAGCATCGTTTCTTTTACCAGCAAAATCTACCAGTGTTCCCATACTCCAGTAATCTCGTTAAGTCAGATGAAGAAATTTAAAGGAAGTACTTGCATTTGAACAGTCTGTAACAGTGACAGCTGGGATTAGGACTAGATGCTGTTTAGTTGTTTAACAGTGCTGTGGGAGAGAACCAAAAGCGATCATATTTAGGTGTGATTTGTTTAACAGTTCACATTTGTTTGACAAATGAAAGGAAGAAACAAAAATGTTTTGTAAATGCCAAATAGTTTGTTTAGGAAACTTTAGAACAAACTTTCCTGATGTTTACAAAATGGTCGTGCTTGTAATAAAAAAGAATTAAGGAATTAATTTGGCAAACCTACTTAAGGGAAATTGATGGTAGTGGGCATATCCAAAAGTGAATTGACTGGAACAAACACGTAGGGCATGAACTTGGGTTAAAATTCCCTGATACAGTTTATGTATCGCATCGTCTATGAGAAACATTCCCTAATCAAAAAGACCACAAGTCAGCAGTCTTGCAGGGGTGTAAAATTGTTTTGTGGGTGTATGTGGAGTGGCATGCATCACAGCTTTGAATTGCCATTTTTCAGGAGCATTTAGCTCCATTGAGTTTTGTACCTGTTGGGAGTTCCCAGCCTCACACATGTACTGTAAGCTCACTGGAAATGTGTTGCCTTTCCCCCCGTCTTTAGCTCTCTTGCTCTTGCTCACACTCTGTTTCCCCCCTCCACACAGTCGTGAGCTTACCTTTCTAGTACTGTTGCTTGAGTACCTGAGTTCAGGTCCAATTTTGGAAGCACAGACTCTCTTTATTGCTTCTGTTTGTGACAACTTTTCTGGGTTATTTCAACATGATTTTTTTTATTTGGTCATTGAGCAAAAAAAAAAAAGAGCCATTTGCACAGCCACCGTTACAAGTACTAAGTAATACCATAAAAGATAGAGGAGAAGTTAACGCTTTTCTAGTTAGTTTATTAGTTCAGCAATACTGATACAAAAATCAGTTTCATTATTTTTGTTGACAGCTTACGCTCTTTCCTCAGCTCTGCAGGAGGCTGCATATCAGTTCAGCTGTAATAGGAGCCAGCAGATGAGATTAAGCACTTGGAAGTGAAGAGAGTTATGAGCGTGGGCATATTTGGTGGCATGAGATGAGATAATGGGAGATGAGAGTTATAAGGCTGAGTGTGGTGGCAGTCAGTCATCCAACCCTCTTAATCATGAGTAAGGAAGTACAAGAAGCTTTAACATACATGAAACAAGCTTTTCTCCAATGGAATTGCTTAAACTTGCCCTGTGGTTTTCTGTCATAGCGAAGAGAGGGAATAGAGATAGGCAGGCTAGGGGACCAGTCTCACTAACCTCACTAACTCTCTCTCCCAGCTCCCCATCTGACACTCACTGGGCGAGACAGAGGAGTTGCCAGAGCTTGTCTGGTGGTACGGTTGTGCTGTTAACTACGTGTCTGCTGAACAGGTAGTCAGCTTTAGCCAAATGAAATGGCTTGTGGCTTAGTTTTTTCTGCCTTCTCTACACGGGGGATACTGCTCACCTCCAGCTTGCCATGTGGAACTTGAACTTTTCAGGAACTTTATCTTCTGAGATTTCAAACAAATCTTAAGGGGGAATAGAAGTTGATTGGTAGATCTAGAATTTACATGGTGTATGTGTGCAAAGAAAAAAAAGAGGCACAAGAGTGGTTTTATTGCACATAAAAGTCTAGTTTCTTCAGGAAACCAATTTAAAAAAAGGCCTACTATTGAAGATGGTTTTGTTCTACATGTAGTCAATTTTAGGAAACACAAATGAGGAACATAACTACCTTTTCAGGGATGTTGTTTTAAAACTTTAAAAGTAGGTGTGGTGTTGCTGTGCATGCTTTAGATTTCTTCAGATTTTCTTCAGATTTTAGATTTAGGCCTGGATATTGCAAAGCATATTTAATACAGTTTAAATGTGGCAAACTGCCACAGTTCTCCAGTAGTTATTACTGTTAACTTTGTGGTTTTAATGCAGCTATACATGAAATGTGGTTACAATTTATGTATCAGTCATGGTGTAGAGGAGTAATGGCAGCAAGAATCTCTGTTGTGAAAGGAGCTGTATTTTTAACCGAGGGAAAAACTGTTTATTGGGATTAAGCCTGCTAGGCATAATGGGAGGAGAGGTAGGAGTCTTGGGATTTTTATTTTTTATTTTTATTTTATTAATTAAATATATTAAAAAGTAACTTAACTAAACTGTTAACTTCTTTTGATTCCTATATTTATTTTTCTTTTTTAATATCAGCTTAAAAAAAAAAGTTGCAATGAAATAACTAATTTCTGTGAGGAATATAATGATTTGGTGTAGTAATTATATCATTAAAGTCCTAGCTTTTTTCCTAAATTATGATATGGTCATATTACAGAGGCGGATGCCCCAAACTTTCCGTGATCCAGCCACTGCTCCATTGAGGAAACTCTCCGTAGATTTGATCAAAACATACAAGCATATAAATGAGGTAATGGCCCCAGCTATCTTTGTGATGTGTATTGATGTGAAGTTTTTGTTTACGATACATTGTTAAGTATACTTTCTATAAATAATCTTGTGAAGAGATAAGAGAAATCAATCTTTCTCTCTGTTGTGCACATCTCATTTGAGATCATTGGTGTAATGGTCCTGCTTTCTTGTACAGCACATAGGAAACTTTTTATCCTGAAATTTGTTTTCTTTTGTTTTATAAACAAATGTTGATCTTTTCTGTTGCATGATGAGGAAATATGGGTGGTACAAACATTCTTAGCTCATGCTATAAACCTTTATGAACATGTCTGAGGATTTTTAAAGAAAATAATTAAGTGTTCTCCCTAAATTATTTAATTAAATATTATTGGCAGATGTAAAATATAAAAAATTATGTGGTTAATATAGGAAAGCATCAGTTAGTTTCTAACTCTTTGGCAATTGTAGGGAATGTGAAGGGATTTCAGCAGTGATTACTGATCCTTCTTTGGAATTTTTCTTCTCCAGTCTTGTGGAAAGAGCAACTGATAACTCTTGTTTCCAGGCTACTTGCCATTTTTAATTTTGCTGTGTGTATAGTGTACTGTCACATATCTTTTCTTTTTGCACCTATGAACTCTAGGGATCAGTGTTATTAGTATATTTACTTGGATCTGCTTTGTGAGTTTATAAATTATTCATCAAGACTTTGCTTTGATGTAATGAGTTGACTTCAACTAGAGTGATAGCAGGAGAGGATTGTTTGTTTTTCCAGTAGTAGAAGTTGCCTTTTAAAATCATAGGATTAGGTATGATGATTATAAAAGCTGATTCTATTCTTTATTGAACTGATGTTCTAAAACATGCTTTTAAGCAATACACTTTTCACGTTTAGGTTTACTATGCAAAAAAAAAACGGCGGCATCAGCAGGGCCAAGGAGATGATTCCAGTCACAAAAAGGAGAGGAAAGTTTACAATGATGGCTATGATGATGACAACTATGACTATATTGTAAAAAATGGGGAGAAGTGGATGGATCGTTATGAAATTGACTCTTTAATAGGCAAAGGATCCTTTGGACAGGTAATGTGTCTCAGCTAAGCAACCTATAATTCATAAGAATTATAATACACATTTCCTTTAAAGTGGTACTCCTGTTTCATTTTGAAATTAAACTCTTTTTTCTTAATCCTGTATACTGAGTCCCTGCTCAAGACTCTTGGTTTGTGCCGTTTCTTGTTACCACAGATAACATCTGAATGTACTTCAGTATGTAGATCTGGTAAAGCATTTTGCAATGAGCAAATCCTCAGCCTTTTGCAATCAGTTCACATTTTTCACTGTTTGACTCGGGTTTTTAATTTAAACAATAGTCTAGTGCTAGGGCTTACCAATTACAAATGTTACTTAGTAGCATTTGTGTCGACTGTTCATAGCTGTAGCCAAGGCTTAAGAGAAAAGCTGGTAGGAGGATGGAGTTTTTCTTTTGTTGTTTTTCTCAGATTTTGCCAGTTGTTTTACAGTATTCTTTTTGATGATTTAATGGTTGCTTTTGGATATAAAGCTTGCCTTAGTGAAGCTTCCGTTCTGTTTTGTGACATCACTGCAATAAATGTCACATGATCAATTGTGGCTTTATCGTAGTATCAAGTAAGAGAAGAAATTTAAGAGAAGGAATTTAACTGGAAAGAACAAAAGTTCTAAAAACGCTTTCTCTGAATTCAGAAAGTGAAGATAGTTTAGCAAGTGAGTTTGGCTATATTTTGAAAGCTCGAGAGCTTTTACTGATGTGTTTGACTGTTCTCTTTTAGGTTGTAAAAGCTTATGATCGAGTGGAACAGGAGTGGGTGGCTATCAAGATAATAAAAAACAAGAAGGCTTTTTTAAACCAAGCCCAGATTGAAGTGCGACTGCTTGAGCTTATGAACAAACATGACACTGAGATGAAGTACTATATAGGTATTTGAATAGTTATTCTTAATTTTTATTCAAACAGATTATGAATATTTTAGATCTTGCTATATAGCATAGGATGCTTCTGGTGCTAAAGAAATTAAAATAATAATACAACTTTTAAAATTATTATTTAGTGCAAATTTTCCAGGTTGCTTCGTGAAAGGACCAGATCCAGAAGAAAAATATATAAAATTATTTGGGATAACAGACTTGTTACTTTGTAGCATTGACATCTTTTCTAGCATCTTCTTTTTGCAGTTAATGGTAGGGACATTTGAAGGAGTTGCCGTGGACTGGCTTTTCCACAGAAGCTGTGATCTGTGGTAGTTTGCATCTCTTTCACTACTTTGAATATATGTTAAATTATCTCAGAACTGTCATGGATAAGAGCATGCATATTTAAAGTAAAACAGTATCATACAGTAGTTTTATGGCTAGCTTAATCATTATTTTTTGATCATATGTGTTTAAAAGGCTCAAAATTTTGTATAATAAAACTGAGATAAGACTTGTGTAAATGTTAAGACCTGACCATTTATAGCTCAGAAAATATTTTAAAGCCTATAATTTTGATGGCTGCTGCAGACTGGAATGCTGTTTTCTTGACTTATTATTATAATGCTACTTAAACTTTATAATAATGATGAAATGAAGTCAGCTCTTGTAGAAAGTTTACTAAATCCTGTCTGACTTCTGGAGTGGAGAACTGGGTAAAAGGTGGGGGAAGGAAAGCAACAGCATGTTGTAAAGAGAGATGGAGAAGGATGAAAAAGAGTGATGAAGGAAAAAGAAACTGATTTTAAGCATCCTTTAATTTGTAGAAGCTGAAATACTAACAGCTATGCTGTTCTGATTTACATGTATATATTGGATTATTAATTGTTCTTTCTGTAGTTTAGAAAGAAACCTTTGAAGTAATGCTAATATGTATATTGGTGTTAAATTATCTGATCAGTATTCAGTTAAATTTTAACTTGTTTTATAGAATATTAACTTTAGAATACATTTTATATATTTGGTGTTAAACTTTTTAAGGTATTTTAAAATTTATTAATCACATGTTTACGTAAAACAAAACTGAAACTTGACAGCATACTACAACAAAAAGATATTTCAGGAACGTTAAAGACATGACCAGTTTCAGATTAACACACGGCAAATAAAGACACTATAGGCATCATCAAATAAGCTCTTGGAATTTTACTTTTAGAGAGTCTGTTTGTAATATCAGGTAAAATGAACTAAAGCATCATATGATCTCCCTCTGTAAGTTAAGGCGGGGTATCTTTATATAGAGAGCAGTGCTGAAACAAAAAAACAAACAAACAAAAAAAAAAGTTCTGATGATTTTGAACAGTGGAGAAATAATATATACTGTCTGTGCTAAGGCAGGTGATTTTAGGCTTGTTTTAGGCTTGTTTCAAGCTGATTTCCAAATCTATTAGGGTATATTTGAATAGTTCAGCTTTTATTTAATGCAGTATTTAATGAACATGACAGCATCAGTAAAGATCAAAAAACCCAAATAGATAGTATTTTGAATTAATACTTCGTATTGCATACTGTGCAAAAACTGACCATAGAAAACTGAGAACTCTAGGCACTTCACTGGAAAATATTTATAAGTGTAGGAACAGTTGCGTATGAACATACTTTTGCCACAAGACTTAATTGAAGTGTTCAGCGTATTAATGCAAAAAAAAAAAAAGTCTGTAGGACATGTGGACAATTCACCCTCGCATGGACTTTCACGTACATGATGCTGAGAATAGCTGAAGGCTGAAATCTTTGCAAGTATTACAGTTGTTATTACTGCGTAATGGAAAATGTAGAGTTCAGGGAGAACATGGTGAAATACACTGTAGCCTGATTTTTAACGACATAAAGTTTAACTGCTTACGCTTCTGTCACATTTCCTAGTACCTTCAAACTTTCTGACTGGTGTCCTTCAGATCTAACACAAGAGTAAGAATTCATTAGGGTGCTCGAGTTTTGTGACGGTGGCAGAGAGGAGGAGAAATGTTCAAATGTCATGTCTTCACTGAAGGAAAGATGTGGCAAGTTCAGCTCTTATCCAAACTATTTGAGCTGTGTGGCGGTTGCAAGTGGTACTAGCTGGCTAGTAGCATGCTGGTAGTTAAAAATCCATTGGAGTAAGTGGTGCTTCTTGCCAAGCTGGCAGGTCCAGCAAGTTTAGGTGGTGTGGTGAGGAATTGTAATCAAGTATAGGAAGACCACAAGGACATGAAAAGGTGCTGGTGCTTTCATGGTGGGAAGATAGTGGAAATATGACAAAGATGAGAAAATATGAAAGATGTAGACAATGATGTATTGCAGGAACTGGCATCAGGGTGGAAGCAAATGGTATCATTACAGGTAAGTTGTAAGGGGCACATGAAGAACTAGCTTACAGTAACGGAGGAAAAAAAAATAATCTGTAGGACACCAAGTAATGACCTTAATTGGAAGTGTGAATTCTCATTGTGCTAATATTGGTTCAAGATTTTATTATGACAAAAAAGGAAGTGTGGTACTTTTTATCTGAAGGGATGAAGTATTTTTCCCATTTCAATTTTCTTTTCCTTGTGGCAACCAACCTGAATGATTGACAGACTGGTAAACCCTGCTTGCCTCTAAACAGGTTAATGTGGTGAATTTTGCACCTATTTCATGAAAAAAATTGATTGCATTTGGACTGGATTGGTTCCTTTCATAAATTGAGATTATGCCCAGTTGAAATTAATATAATGCCTTTGGGATATTGATGAGTTTTGTTAATTGAAGTAATCTACTGAAGTTACAGCTTATAAATTGCAGTGAATGTCTTAGTATATTTTAAACGAATCTGACAAATATTTTCTCTGTAAATGCAAGGGAAATTCTTAATAAAGAATTCAGTCTAAAGTGCAATACCTGCTTTACTGTTGAGAATGCTGCTGTATGTGCACTTTTCTCCAGTCTGCTTGGACTTAAGTACAGTTTTAGCTTTAGGACTGTGGAGAAATGAACTCTCTCCTGAAAAAGATCAAAAGTGTTGTGACAAAGGCTGTGTTACACACAGTTTGCACTTCTTGTCTTTTTTGCTGATACTTTTATTTACCCACAAATGTGTTTGCCTTTGCTAATAGGGGAGTGATAGCTTATTTTGAAAAAAAAAAATCTGTTCTATCTGTTAAATAATTTTTTTGTTAATATAGCTTTACGGAGGTACACATGAGGACACTTCAGATGTGGAAAATGTGCACCCCATACCCTAGGCAGGGCAGCAATATTCCGTAAATAGCCATAGATCTAGGGGGGAAAAAAAAGTAACACTGTATTTTCTTACTCATAGGTCAGCTTCCTACATATTGATTAAAAGATTTAAGCATTGTGTTGTGTTGCAATTAGTGTTTCATACTTACCGCACAGGATATGTGTTAATTATTTTCTTCCCCTTTTTAAAGTGCATTTGAAACGCCACTTCATGTTCCGAAACCATCTCTGCTTAGTCTTTGAAATGCTGTCCTACAATCTGTATGATCTCTTGCGGAACACCAACTTCAGAGGTGTCTCATTGAACCTGACACGAAAATTTGCACAGCAAATGTGCACTGCACTGCTTTTTCTGGCGACTCCTGAACTTAGTATCATTCACTGTGACCTAAAACCAGAGAATATCCTGCTCTGTAACCCCAAACGAAGCGCTATCAAGATTGTTGATTTTGGCAGTTCATGTCAACTTGGGCAGAGGGTGAGTATTAGTCGAAATTCTAATTATACTACTGTTGGATACATACAAAAAATGTTATGTTTTTAGGCCACAATACCTAGATAGCTAATCTAAACTTTATTGATGATTACTTAAATGAAATAGTAACTGATTTGTACATAAGATGTTAGAGATCAACAGTCCGTAGGAGCTTTAAATATGAATTGTAGTGCCATGGTAGATAAAATTTCAACATAGTGATATTTCCATAACTTTCCATCTTTCTTTTCTCCTTCGCTATGTTTTTATGCTATGTTAATGCAGAATGCTTCAGCATTTTATTTTGGAAGTCTGTAGTACTATTAAATAAAATACTCTTTTATTATTTTCTTATTCGATATATATTACTCCTTCCACTTTAGCATGTCCTCTAATTAGTGTGCCTTGGAGATAAGATATTTGAGGGTTCAGACAGTGCAGTCGCTGGCTCTTAAAGATTCTGTTTATAACTAACCCATTTTTAGAAACACTTTAGCAACTGTGGAAAGACTGAATTGAGTTTAGTAGTGGTATTACTATGAGTAAAGATGCCTATGTGCAAAGCATTTCCAGGACAAAAGGCCAGATTGCTTTCTTTCAACAGTTCTGCAGATTAGGATTGATCTGAACTATTAAATAGTTGTCCAAAAATTTGGAGTTTTATCTTGTTGTTCATGTACTTTGAAGATGAGTGCATTTTTCAGTTGAGCTGTTGGAATCTGTTGAGCATAGGCTATTCAGCATAGCAAATAAGCTCTATATTTGCTTTAAGAAATATTAAAATATATACATTAACTTAATGTTTTAAAATAATAAATAATTTTGCTTGGATGCCAAAGCCTGTTTTCTTTAGGAAGAGTTTTGAATCATATTCCTCAAATGTTTGATTTATACTGACAAATTGCTCACTGAAAAATGTAGCAGGATATACTGTTCAGCTTGAGTTGAGTAAAAGTAGACTCTTTACTGGTTGAAAGAAATATATTTGGCTGAGCAGGTGACCACTTTCATTCAGGGTACCTTTGCTTTAGTTGTTTGCACTGGAAAAAAAATGTTAACTGGAGAGGTAAGGAAGACTTCTACAGATAGAAGTTAGCCTTTAATTCCCTTGAAAAAAGGATTTTGAGCCTTCCCAGGTCAAGTGTATTCCTTTTGGCAGTTTCATCTATAAATTTGTGAATTACGTGTTTTTGCTTTGGGAAAACTGAGTGTTTCTAAAAAAAAAACAAAAAAAACCCAAAACAAACAAACACAAAAAACCCCAACAACCTACCAAAAAACCTGCCAAAAATATGCAACATTTGCAAAAGAGATGAAGTTTCAGAAGTATGACTAGTAATACTGCAGATAGGATCATTATATGAGAAGGATTAAGAAACTTCATGGACTAACTTTAACAGAAGTCCCACAGTCCTCTTTTGAGGAGTTGGGACTGGCCAGTAGCACCCCATTGCTTTTTTCCCATAATAAGTTTGGGAAGAGCAGGTCAGAATGTTGAATATTGTATTGAAAGCAGTGGTGAGACATATGTTTAGATTAACAAAAGGACTTTTTACTAGGAAAAAACCTTTAAACCTTTCAACCCAGAGTGAAGGAAGATACCAGGAGGTGAAATGATATCTTGACTGTTTAGTCAATAATAAGATAATTTTGAGATGTTAAGAAGCACAAATACAAAAACCTAGTGTAATTCTTCATTAAAGTTAACTTAAATAGCGGTAAGGAAATATCAGTACCTTTTGTAGAAAGTGCTGGATAAAATTGCATGTTACTTAGAATATAAAGTATGGTTGTGTTTTGGGTATTAATTTGTTTGGTGTTTCTTTGCTAAGGTTTTGGAGTTTGTTTTTTTTGTTTTCTCTGTGGTTTTGTTGTTAAGATTTTTTGTTTCTTTTTTTTAATATGCCTACAGTTAAGACAGTCTCCAGGTTTAGAATCAAGATAGACTCTTCTGTCTTGTGAAATGAGCAGGATAGTTGGGGGTGGAAGGAGGTTGCTTTTTCCCATGTGGCATTTTCTAGTTCCTCAAATGACCTGATAATTTAATCTCATTTCATCATATCGTAATTGTGGCTTTTGATCTTTTACTATAGATTTTGTCTGGAGTGTTATGTGATTCTGATATGGCTTATGGAATAGTTTTTCTTTGGGTGATAGCAGACTAAAATTTTATTGTATGATTACCTGTAATTGCATGAGACTATACTCATCAACACTAAAGTGTAAAATACTGTAATCATGAGCGAATTTGTACTTTTTTTTGGTGACAGAGTGTGAATGCTAGTATTTTCTTAAGAATTAACATTTATATATTTTTATAAATGTTAAGTATAGATACTTTTTAGTATCACTGATACC